TTGGATTTACAGAGGCCAACAGCACATATAGCTTGTTCCTCAACGTTGAATTCAGGACATTGACCATCCCTAAACATGAGAGAAGGAGAACAGACTGAAAATTATAAAACAACAATTAAAACAATAAGCCTTCTGAAAAGCCTTTCAAAATCTCATAAGGACCACAACTCTGATTTGAATCACAAGCCACTAACATTATGTTCCAGTGCCATCCCTTGCATGCAGGCCATTTACCAGATGAGAATTTTGCATATCGAAGGGATCACTTAGTTAAAGCAATTCTGTTCATCGTGCCATCAAAGGCGAATGATGTATCATTTAACTAGCAAAAGTATCAATAAAATAAAAAAGGGAACAAAACACAAGTACAGCTTCACATATTTGGAGGTTTGTAGAAACACAAACAGCTATATAGTTTTTGTGATGCAATGATTAGCACAAGGACTTTGGTTGCTCTGCAAAATAATAGCGCAATCAATTTTCCTCAACTTTGCTTTAGCATGCAGAAAAACATTTGTTGAATTTATGCTCTGTGTAATTAGTTCATCAATTAAGCTATGAACTACCTAAACCTGCCTGTACTCGTATCAGGTAGGCTGCCTAGAGGCTAAAAACTTATTTAGCCAAACTACTGACATTGCTTAATGGCCAAAAATAAAAATAATTACTGCCCGTGCTTACCACAGTATCAATCAGATGGCAATGGATTTGCATTCTCTACATCCATGTAAACATATTCATCTCTTATTACATTCACAGTAGCCTCAGTTCAGCTTGTGCCTTACCTTTAGAAATTCTTTCACTCTTTTTGCCTCATCTGCATAATTCATAGAAGGTTTTGTTTTATTACAACTTAACAGAACTAATTCATTCTCTCATCTGAATGATTATTCTATTTAAATTAGTTAAATTTCACACCTCGACACGGTGAAATATTAATGAGTACTATTCTCTCCCCATAGTTTTATGAAATAAGGAAAGCAGCCAATCTTTTTTCCCTGAAGCATGTAGCTTTTCTGCACTTCTTTCGAGGATTTCACGGTCACTGCTTTAGTTGCACTTGTAGGCCAAGGTCAGATGTTTTATCGAAATGTAGGCATATCTAAGTATTCTAAAAAAGAAAGACCCTAATTAAAAGACATGGTTAAATTGCAACATAGTGTTCGTTTATGAAGGACTAAAAATAAATAGCCATATATTCTCCCTTCATGAGTTGCACATGGTCTCGGCCGATTTTCCAGAATCAATAAAATCGAGTATTTTCCTATGACTATATTTGGGCCTATCTACTACAATATCTAAAGAAACACCATTTATGATTACCCCATCCTTCATACATGACATCAACTAAGTCAATACATCAAAAAGATGCAAGATTCACGGCCTACAATTGACATCCTTGTACGTGGTTAAAACTCGTAATTAGCTGATTGAGTGGAGATACAAAAAAAGAAAAACTAACGAAAAGAAGAATATTTCAAAGGAACAAAAAGCTTGCAGCTGTTAAAGTGAAGGAGTCTGAAGTCAAATGATATTGTGTACCCACCACCGATCAAACCGCCAAAGAAATAAAGAATTATCGACGGATGCCCATGCCCTGCGTATTTCCGGAAATATTCCACATAAAGCCGTTCCTTCCCCACCAGCAGCATTATATCTTTCAATGAGCACAGGAGGTAACTCCCAGGTCTCCGATATCTCTACCAAAGGAGGCCACTGCGAAAAAAAGAAGAAGAAAAAGAGCAAAACATCATCCCTGCCTAGGCAAAAAGAAAGTGCACGTCGAAACGCATCTAAGAGGAAACCCGCAATTCCTCCGTACTTGATTTTTGGTTCTTTAAAGTACGACATATTTGAAGAGGCAAATTATAACCGCCGAAAAAGAGAATAGTGCAACTAATAACCAACACAACGATCCGTGGCCATCCAATTGCATAAGATAAAATCTGCCAGCCATTCAAAAGCACCTCGGAGTCGACAAGATTCATTTGCAAGACCACAATCACACAGAGAACCTCCTTAGGAGAAGGAACACGATACGCGTGGCCAAAATTGACCTACTTTTCAAGAATTTGTGGGCTAACTTCGAATCACTGCCCCCAATCCCCTGCCAAAGTCGGCACCTTCGCGAGAGCTACTCCCCCCCCCCGCTTAGCTTTCTCCACACCAGTTCAAGCAACCCACGACTCCTTTTCCTACGCCAAAAAAATTTCGAGACCGTGGGGGAGGCACGTACCTCCCTGGGGTGGGTCGCGTATGGATGGCTGACGTATCTGGACGCCTCGAGGGCCTCCTCGAGGTCGGTGTGGGACGCGGCCTCGCGGCCGATGCGGTCGCCCAGGGCGATCCCCGCGTTGGTGACGTCCCGCATCACGATCTCTTCCTCCCACGACATCCCTGCAAGCTCCTCCTGCGGCTGCGGCTGCAGCGGCTGCGGCGGCGGCGGCGGCGGCGGCGGAGAGAACCGAGATCGAGGCGCAACCGCCGGGCGGACCCGGCAAACTCCCGGTCTCCGAGAGGACCGTCCGAAGAGGGAATTTCAGAGAGAGGGAGAGAGAGAGAGTTTGAATAGGGTTTTTGGGAGGGTTTTGATTTGGGGGGTTTTAGCGGGTGGCGGGCAAAATATTTTAGTAGTTAAAGCTTCTCGTTTTTTTCGAAAATAGGGGCGGATTTTTTTTTTATTTTTTTGGTAAATTTTTTTTAAGGGGGGTGGTGTGATGTGAATCGAGATAATCGAAATTTTTTTTTTTTATCGATTTGTTCGGGGAGGACTCGATTGTTTTGTCGAGTCCATTAGTTTGGACAGAATTTCGACTCGATGCCCCCGTGTAATTTGCACGTGAATTTTTAGAGCTTAATTGCATTTTTGTTTTTGGGTACAAGATGTAGTCCTCGTTCGTTCGTTACGATAAAAAGATGAGCACCCGTAGCGTAGATGGTGATTCGGGTCGGAGCCCAAAAGGCTTGAGGGGGATATAAGGTCTAAGCCATTTATCAGATCAAATTGATTTACCGTCCACTCACAAATGCATTATGCTCTATAAAGATCAATTATGGCAATCAAGATTTAAGTCTGTTAGCCAAAAATTTTATATGCAAAGTTGCACAAGCTGACAAAATTGCTCCAGTTTTTCAGGATGAGCGACTTTTGGGACAAGTGAGATCTGGATTCTATTAAGTCGTGGATTGAATTTCCCAAAAAAGAAGAATTTCTGTACTTAACCGAATTCCTTACTTTGAATATCTTTCCAGTATGCTTGGTAGGACTATCCATTCAAACCATCATGCCCGAGTGCTTCGGTGGCCTCCCAATTGATGAACGGCCATTGAGTGTGACTTCTCCGGTTAGGCATGTGTTTATTCCATCCCTCACTAGACACAGATAATCCTCCGGAATGGACTGAAAATTGCGATACCCAACGGACCAATATAAATCTCTGAAGCAGTCCATATTCATCGGTTTCAACTGGTCAGGATTTCTACTCCATTCCTCTTCATTAACTTTCAAAATATAACTCTTGTTCCTTTGTCGTCTCTAAATAACAGCGGCATGAAATTACTTCGTGTTTCTATTCCCCCGTTCCAACTAGTCGATTCTAGAACGTATCTCCCAATACATCTCCTCCTGCTGCCGTAACTTTTCAATTTCACCATTTAGGCATCGCACTCTAGCCGCGCCATACTTCTGACCCGTGCTATTCACGATATTATGAAGCTCCTGCTTCATTAGGCTGAAGTTGCGTGAGAGAACTTGTTCTTGCTCTACTCGGTTAGGACTCTAGAAACACTGCCCAATTTTACTGAACAAGCCAGCATTTCACTCTTTTCCTTGGTGGCCAAGTGTTCCTCACTACTTTACGTACCCACGCTCTTCATCCTCAAGCCAAAAACCAAGGGCCAGAATTTACAACCCTTTTTCTTGCCAGCCTCGACATCAAAGGTGAAAGAGAATAACCCCGATTCACGCCGTATAAATGTGACATGCTCAGTTTTCCAAGCCCACTTCCTAGGATTCTAGAACGCTAGGGAATTTACACTAGGCTTAGTGCGAACCCCGCCAAATAATGTGATATGGCATTCCCCTTAACTTTTTCTCCGAAACCATTACATTCATTACATTTACAGCTACTTTGGACCTTGGGTTCCTCGCCACATTCGCCCCAACTTTCTACATAGTGCAGCCATACGCCTCTCAGACTCATTCTTGCCTTCCATATTTTGCACAATTCGAAGTCAAAAACCAAAATTTAAACTCCTACTCACCTGCCATTTTGCTTATCTCCAAACAGGTTTCAGAGCAATCAAGAAAACAACAAGACATCTGCCGAACCACCCGACATGAATCTAGCAGCAGCCCCCGGTATCCTACACTATGGCAAATGTCCTCCAATTGAGCAAACAACGTCAACGAAAGCCGCTCACGACAACTCCTTCTCGGTGGGGGGATATCTTGAAATCCTTCCTACGTCTGACTCTTTGCTTAAAATAACAGAAACAAAGGCAGTCACGAGGAATACATAGAAAATGAGGTGACTAGAGGTGGCACGTGCATTTTTGTACTTACATCCATTGATAGATTGACACAAATCCGCCGATGTGGAATTGAATAAACAAAACTAAAAATATGCTCACTGGAGCATAACCCCGGTTCAATTGTCTCTCACAATTTGTTTTTTATTTAACAGAAAATATGTAGAACCTCCTACAAGGTACAAATATCGACAACATAAAATCACAGGTAACTTTTTCACACTTTTTCTAAACTTGAAATATATTTTTTCATTCTCAAATTCTGGAGCAAGTCCCCAATTAAAGCAATAAAGTAGTTTCTTTGTCCTCCCAGACCTCCTTTTTCCCCCTTCTGAGGCATCAATCTATGCTAAGACAAGGTCAAAAATTGTCAATTCATGAACTTCCATTTCACTGGCTTCTCAGTCCTATAGTCTCATATGCTCTAGATCCCCTGCCAAATGCACTAGCGATGACTGAAAGCTCAAGCAGGAAAAACAGAGTGTGTTATGAATCAATCTGAGCAGTACAGCACTACACAATTTCCTCTTCAACTAATTTACAAAGGATGCAATTCGAGCACGAGCAAGCGAAGCATCAATCAAATTCTGTGTGTAGGAGCTTCACAATACAACAACCAATACAAACAACAAGAAACTCTGACAGGCCGGGAGATCACACGCAAAAACGAAGCTCAATCAACAGATTGCTATGACTTATTTTAAAATAAATGTTAGGAGGAAATCTCTGGTTCCGATGTTCTCTATCTATACATAAGGACCATCCGAGAGGGGTGAACATGAGCACTTCTGTGATTTTTCTTTGTTTCCCTAACTTTATATCTGTTCGTTTCCTTTGAGAATGTTGTACTTGCAGAGAGGACAGGTCGCGTTCATCTTGAGCCATTTCACGATACATGTTGAATGGAAATGGTGGTTGCAGGGGAGAGCATGGAGCTCCGCTCCGTCCTCATATGAGGTGAGACATATACAGCACTCCTGTGGAAAATTGGAGGAGAGATTCATCTTAAACGCAAGATATGTGCCAAAATGCTAATAATACAAGACAAGTGCCATACTCTCGGGAGGTGTTACTTTAGAAACTCCTAGCTCCGGTATTCACAAACATCAAACCTCTCAAGTGTTTTTTCACATACTGCTAACCAGATCCTGAACCTTACTAGGAATGATGGACGACAGGGCAATATCTGGCATTACCCATTATCCCAATGTAACCAAGTATAAATAGAGCAGAGATAACTATATGGGCACATGGACAGCATAGCATGAGACCCACAACATCCAATTTCTACGTTCGGGCACACTTCAAGTTGGTAGAGTGCACCATGGCACCTTCAAAGACAATTGGAGGAGGTTAAGACATGATTAAGGGGAAAAACAGAGTTTACTGCCCACTTTTTGTCAGGAGCTTATGATTTAGATTTTGATGGAGCAAATAGGGGGAAACAAATTTTAATTGTGGTAGTCAAAATAAACCAGCTGATTTAGTAGCACGGGCTGCAATAAGGGAGTGGCATGTTCTTAATTGGACCACTACAGACGCAAGACCTTATTTAGCTGGAATTGCAATATCCGCAAGATTGGGGTCACTATTTATATTAATTTAACAAATTCTTGGAAGCATTCTAAAAGAGCCATACACTCTTTAAGTTGATCAATGTCATGTAAACTAGGGCAAGAACTGGCTAGACAAACTAAAAATGAGGCTGAATCTTTTCTACTTTCGTCATTGTCCCTATGGATCTATCTGAAGGGCAGTCTTTAAATATCTCAGTTCGATCGCAGTAGGGCACCAGAAAGCAGTGTAGAATAAACTGTTAGAAGAGCAAAGCTGTCATCATAGCACAATAACTCACCGCATCCTCAGGCAGAAGCAATCTTTCATTTGCAAGATATCCGCTAGTTGTTTCAACAGGAACCAACTTTCCAGCTCCAACAACAGTTTTTTCACCATTGCTCAATATATGAAACTTGTATTTAGGAAGGATACTGAGATCGGCCTCTGATGCACCCTCCTGTTCAATCGTGAAAACAGAAAAGACAATAAAGAACGGCCCCCCAAAAAAAGTTGTGGCCAAAAAACAGAGCCCTTTATTATAAGATAGCCTCGTACCTGTCCAGCAACAGCATAAAGAATCGCAATAATGCATGGCAGACAGCAACAAAGAGCAATCCCAATCAGACATGCCAAAACAACACAAAAGATGGCAAAGAATACGTCAAATGCCAGAAATACCACAGCCAACCTGCACAAACTCAGAATTAGATAGTCCAGCAGTAGCAATTCTTGTTTTCTGTTTTTCAATTTCATTTAATAGTCACTCTTCTCTATGCCAAAAAAATCACTGCATAAATGATGTGTGTGTGAGAAAGAGAGAGAGAGAGAGGACAAGACCAACAATCAGTGATATGGAACATCCCAAACTGCCCCCCCACCCCTCGCACCAACACAAAGAAATATTGGCTCATCTGGAAGATCAAGATACTGGGTCATAATTGAAAACGCAAGGCAGTACACAAAAGATGTAACCAATGATCGAAGTACCTAAGTGACGTGTAGTCCAAGATTAACCTCCCCCCAATTCCCCGTGTTCATACAACAACAGTGACGAAGTTGGCTGTGTGTGTTGTATACTTAATGCCTCAAACTAGCAAAAACATAAAACTGAAGTTCTCTTAACGTGAGAAATTGAGAAGGTCAGCATCATACCAGTAGAGACGAGGCGCTTCAGCTAAAAGAATATCTCCGCCAGAAACTACCCAATAAAAGCCAACTATCCACCACAGAAATGAGGCCATGGTATTCACTGATTCACAGCGTTTGGTGACACTACAGAAGACATCGTCAATAAACAATTAACAGCCAATAATAAGTGAAACTTTACAACTCCAGCTAAGTAACCAAACACAGATTCAATTTGAGAGCAAAGGTTGAGCATCTATGCCAATATCATAAAATGCCCCTGCATAGACTTTGCAACGGCAAAAGCATGACCAAACAGTTTGCTAACTTCAGTCATTAACAAGATGGATCTTCCTAGAATTAGCCCATCGAATTGAATTTGATATATTCAGAAAATATAAGTATATTTTTTAGGGTAATCATTGTTAACTGCAAATTATATCCAGAACTCCTGAATACTTTATATTGGCTTCTCAAAAAGGAGCATTAAGGATTCTCTCTTTAAAATGAGCTTTCTATTTAGAAATTCTGCATTCAATAGAACTCCTGTCAAATTAACACTCTATGGAAAACACTAAAATAGGCTCTTTTTATACATACTGCAACAGAAGAATGTGAAGAAGATGGTGGTACCTTGATATATTCGTGATGATACATAAGTATTTAGGCTTTGTTTGGAGTAACTTAACTTTTTAAGTATTCTATATGACTTGTTACGTTTTGTTTTGAGGAGAAGTGCCTGAATAGATGCTAGACGAGTATTTCATGCATAAATTTTTGCCAACACTTCTTCTCTGTCATCTCCCCTGACATTACCCACTGCCTCGCTTCTTTCTATGTATCACTACTCTTAGTGTAAGTGCCCAAGAAAATGTCTTCACAACCAATATCAACAAAGACCGCGTCACGTGCAACCTTTAGCAGCGTGTCAACAAGAAATGAATAAGATATCAAAATATCAAAGATGGGCCATGGAGGGATCACTCATGAGGAACATGAAATGGTAAACGAAGGGAAGAGTCCTCATCTCTGATTTGGTCATTCATGCAATGGGAAGGAAGAAAAGGTGCAACGTGGGTCCATCTCTGTCATATTCAAAGTCGCCACTTCGAGCAGCTATATTGGGTTTGTGAAATGTGGAAAGAAGAGAAGGGGGGTCGCCCAGGAGGAAATCTCCTTCATGGACCACTTGACAAACGGGAGGAATGGCAGGAAATTAGGATGTCTCAAGTTCATATTTTCTTTCTAGAAACGAGAATATGGGAGGAAATGGAGAATTACCGGAGCACAAAATGCTGACTTCTAAAACATGACATACACATCCATCTCTATCCATCTCTATCCGTCACTTCCTTTTTCCGCCTACATACAACTATGAAACACGAGATGGAAATTTCTGGTCTTTGTCTCTCCCTTTTTTCTACATTTTTACAGTAATCCTTTGTTCTACTTCGCCTTGCAACCCTTAGTATGATCTTTCTATTTCTCTCCATTTCCTCTTAACTTCGAAGAAGGAAATTTCTTGCATACTGCCACTATATCACACGCAAAATCTGCGAGTGCCAAATATCAAGAATCGATGCCCAATCAAATCTAATTCCACTACCAAAACTAGAAGTCAACCATTGCAATCAACTCAAAACCAACAATCCAGAGAAACAAAAAGAAACTCACTTCGACCGAGCCGAGCTGCCCGAAGCCGCGTCCGCGCCGGCGGCCTCCTCGTCCTCGCTGTCGTTCACGTAATTGTAGTTCTGCTGCCGCTCCTCGTCCCTGACCCTCCGCGAGTTGCGCCGCCGGTACTCAATCCACACGAGGACCACGTGGACCAGGCACTGCGCGGCGTACCCGCAGATCCAGAGCCGGATCGGGGTGTTTGGGTGCTCGCCCGCGGTGCAGACGAGCATGACCACGGACACCACCACGAACGCCGCGTTCCACATGATGTCCAGCGCGACCACGGGCTTGGAGTAGCCCCAGTCGGCGCGCCGCTGCTCGAGCTCCCGCGCGGCCGTCTCCCGGACCAGCATGGAGGGGCCGCCCCGCCCCGCGGCCCGGCCGAGGAGGACCGCGAGGGTGGGAGGGCGGGGCACGGAGTCGGAGCCATCGTCGGCGCTGCCCTGGCGGGGGGCGAGGAGCGGGGCCTGGGGGTCGGAGCCGGCCGCGGCGGAGCTGGAGGAACTGGAGGAGGAGGAGGACATGGTGGTGGGGTGGCGGGGACTACTGGGTTCGGGGACAAGGGGTTAGCATACCTGAAAGTTCCTTCCTTTTCAGCTGGGTTTTTGCACAGTAGAGAGAGAGAGAGAGAGAGAGAAACTGGGTCGAGGGTGATGGGGAGGAAGGAGAAAATGGAGGAATGGGGAGATGGGTCTGTTGGGTCCTCGTTTCTTGTCGATGTTGTTGTTGTTGTTGTTGTTGGGGTTGAACGGTAGCTGCGACGCGAGGGGGGTGTTCCTGTCGTTGAGTGAGCTCCAAACTCTCTTCCTCTTCTTGGGAAGCAGAACGAGGAGGGGGAGGCGGCTTCGCGGGTTACGTTACGTGTGTTTTTTGCCGGTGGTCGGAGGGGGTTCGGCAAGCGTGCGCCTCACTTTCTCCGCTCGTGGGGTTCGGTTCTGTGCGCATTTCTTCCTCTGTTTTTTTACACCGCAACGACACGGGCGAGATTGGCGAGGTAGCTGAGTTTTCTGGTCGCTCAATCGAAGAGCCTACCTTATTTTCTCCTGTCACTGCTCCTTGGGAAAGACACGGGTTTATCCGCTGTTCTGACGTTCCTTTTGGTGGGGGTTGTAAGTTGTCCACGTCCGTGGATCTCGTCGTCAAGTCAGTTTTGGACATTGATAATGGACGGATCGTCCCTCTCGTCAAAAGACTCGATCATAGTCTTTGGATCTGAGCCACTCTCTTTAATAGGAACGTCGGCACGACAGGGTTACATCATAAAAATAATAAAAAAAATAGATAAAAATAATCATTGAATTTTGACTTAATGTTCAATGTAGTCTTCGAACTTCTAATTTATTCAATGGAATCCCTATAGTTTGATGTTCAATGTGGCCCCTCAATTTTTTATACATGTTCAATATAGTTTATGAACTATATGAAAATCAAATTAAAGTTCAGGGATAACATTGAACATGTATCAAAATCCAGGGACCTCATTAGATATTGGGTCAAAGTTCAAGAATCATATTGAACAAAGTAAAAGTTTAGAAACTATATTACACATTGGGCCAAAATTCAGAAGTTGCTTATATCATTTTTCCATGATCATTTGATCCCTTTCTCGCGTAGGATCGATAATGTCGCTTTTTTCCTCCCAAGTTTTGTTAAATCTCATTTTGCTCCCGTTTTGCGATCGTTTTATCTCACTTCATCCTTTGTAATTCATACGAGTTTATGGCAATTTAATGGTAAACCGCATAAACTTGTGGATTGGTTGACTCGGATTGTCGAAGTCGGATTGGGCCCCTTCTATGGTACCATATTGTATGCACAACATGACAATGGTTGGTAGAGTATTAAAACAGTCGATAATTATTGATTGAGAAGGTCCAAAATTGAGACCCCAATAATATTCATTCATGCTCTGTTATAAGGTAAACACGTCGCTTCTGGTAATATTAAATTAAGTAGAAGTTCATTCAGGAGGAAGCTGGTCAAGAGCTTTCTTGTCAGATTGCTACATCTTGGATCAAGATTTCGTCACTGCCACCAACTTTCGGTTTTCAAAAGAATTGTGATCATAACTCATACTGACGTGCCTGCGTAATCAAACAGAGTAAAGCCGATTGACCATATACTAAACAGAGCACCGGTCACATCTCCACGAAGGTGGCCACACCAAAAGATGTTCCCAAATCACCTGATGTGATTAAATAGGCAAACTCAAATCAAGAGTTCGTATAATAGAGATCATTTTCCAGGCAAGTTGCTCATCTCCTGCTAACCACCTGCAGCATAAAAACACAGATCCGCATCCATCAAGAGGGTGACCACCAACTCTATAAGGGCACTGTTCTGTCAAGCAGACAGCGACATGAAGTGACTCCACCTTGATGTATTCCCCAAAATCTTGGATTTCCTCTTGACGAAATTCTTTTGAGAGTTCAGAGAGTAAAGCCTGAAGTAAAGAACATTTTCTTGAAGGGCATCGTAAACTGTCTGTGCAAATGTTACCCGACTCTTCATTTTTCTTGCTCAACCGTGCGGGGAAACAGTAAGCAAACTTTACTTCATGCCTTTCTGTTCTTAGAACGTGCAGAAGCTCATCTTGGTGGATAATTTTAGCCTCTTTATTGCCTTCCATAACAACTATTCCTCCAGCTACCCTTTCATCCCTCACTTGCAAAAATGGCACGGTTTCTGTGTCTCCTGAATGTGAACATTCATATTCCCTGTTCCTTCTGGAGAACTTGAAGTTTGGGCTCAAGGAACTCCGCACAAATGCATCCGATGCACATGCTTTGACAAAGTGAGTTGATGGGACACTCACATTCTCGTTATTCGCAGGGTCATAACATGGAATTCCTAATTCAGACTCGATTTTCCCCTTCAGAGAAGCCATTTTAGGCTTCTCCCCATGCACGAGTATTACATGCTTCGGTGAAAGAAATTTAACAAGATCCATTATCCCTTTTGCATCTGTGTGGGGACTGAAGGATAATTGATGAATCTGGACATGAAGCACATAAAGTTAGCATATATAGCATGGACGAATTGCATCACCTTGCAGGTTCTTCTACTAAATAATTGTACTGTTCTTCTAGAGCAAGCTTTGTTTGGTAAGTGCGCATTCATATATGAAGAAGGGGGAGTGTATGATTTGACATAATTGATGACATCAAAACAGTGATGCCATCAAAGTATAGACCAGAGCCTGATGATAAATATTTTCATCCAGTGACTCTAAATTGGTATCATGAATAAATAACCAACAAAAGCTATAGATAAAGGCTTTGGGTAGAGTTGCCAAAGTGAGTCAATTATGCAAACCAAAACTTGGAGACCAAGAGGGGAAACTGACATTTCAAGTTCTCATCCATTTTTCAGTAGCTGACTTTGCCTAGGTACATTGTTCAACAGTCCTGGTTCATTTACACTGCAAAAGCATTCTTTAGATACAGATTGACAGTACTCACTGGGTATAATTTACAAATAAACCCGGGTGGGGTAAAGTGGAGAGAGGTGAAATAAAGAAAAAGGAAGATATACCTTCTCATTCAGTTATATGAAGGATTTTAGGACCAACTTAAATAAGAATGACAGGTTTAACTATAGTATAAAGAAGATTGCTCTGGTGGATGGTACACTGACAACAAATATGATACAAACATAATATCCAAGAGATGACATGAACCTGACATCGAACATCGATCTGTGTGTCCTTATCCAAGTCAATTTTTGTGGGTTTCCCGGACATCAATTTATGTCCTATGGTTCCAGCCACGCAATACCTGGAAGATAAGTAGTGAAGGAGGAAACTGAGACATGATTGCCATGGGATGATAGATATGCATGTGTTTTGCTTTCATGCTTGTATTCCCCCAAGCCCCAAATACAGGTAGGGCAGTAAGTACTAACTCATGAAAGTTGTTTATAATTCTCAATATGCAGGTAGTCTTATAAAAGGAGGTCATGGTGGCTCGAATTCATACTTTGGATTACCATCTATTTGGAGGTTCCACAAGTTTGAAGGGGAAGAACCTCGTTAATTTACCAGTTTGGGACCTTCCCAACAATAACAATTGAAGTTACCACTAAAACTTATGGAATTTACTATAAAAGGTAGACCCAATGAAATATGATAGAGTTTGATATTTACTTGTTTCCCTCTTCATCCCTAATACCACCCACAAAGACATTAATATTGAACTATCATATGGATGAAGAAAAGGGAGTCACCCAGGTAGCGTAACAAGGTTGTTTTCAGAAGGTGCCCAGTTCTTGAAAACTTCAAGTGAAAATCCACCACTGATCATTCCAGGTGTTGCGAAAAGCACACAGGGTCCAGGAGTATTAATCAAGGAACGGTCAAAATTGCGAACTGCAACATCAGAAACTAAATGATATTATGTTGAAACTCCAAGCTATCTAAATTACTTAATCATATGAACTATTTGATCAATATGCTAGATGTACCAAGAGGAAACTCCAACTAACTCTATCATGTGAATGTTATTCTGCACAATTTTGTGGACATTCTCAATACTACTCTGCATTGACAACTAAAATGCAAATGAAATTTCAGCAAGACAAAAAAAAGAAAAAAGAAGCCATACTAACAATACAAAAGTGATGCCGAGTTTCATCCAATTAATCAATTACAAGTCTTTACAATAAACTCTATGGCAGGAAAATGAAACTAAAAGCTAATCTTGCTATTGCATTAGTCATATCATTAACTTCAACGGCATATTATGGTGGGAGAATTAATCCACCAAAAGGTAGCTAATCACTGAAAAGTTTATGTTTTCGGCAACTTGTCTTATGAAATTTTTTAAGCAAATGGCGAATGTAAGATGGCCAGGGACTGTCTCTCAGCTGATCATCAACAGAAAAATCAAGCTAGAGTTCAAAAACCATACTCGCTCTAACATTTACACCAGCTCTGCCTGAACTAACCACCATATAATGAATGCTCGGACTTGCTTGTTGCCCGGCATCCATAGTGACCGAGGACAGACAGTAATACTAACGACTAGTGGTCCTTTTAAATCTGATGCTGAGAGAATGGTAAAATTGGATGCCCACATAAACCCTGCGATATTTTCTTTCAATTTCTTGCATCTTGATATGAAACCCACTTCAATTGATGAGTGACCAAAAAAAACTCAATGGAAATTTATTGTATTATGCTATCATATCTTCATTTGTTGTTGCTGCAATTGATATTGCAAATTGTCTCATATTGCAACCTGATTGCCTGAAGGAATAGGTTCAGCTGCAATTTCATTGCCAAGCATTGTCCTAATAGGAAAGCCGAGATTCTATCATGAAAGGTTTCTTTAATGGGCCTACAAGCTACAGCAATGCATCTCAATTGTTTATCTTATTAGGTTAGAAACTAAAGCATTGTAACAAGATTCTCATACAGACTTTAAAATGCAGTGCATGCCAATAGGAATTGACACAAAAAGTAATGTGAATTCAAAATGCTATGCAGAAATTATCCTGACTACAACCCTGAAGTATTCTAGTTTTGCACGACAATTGCCAGAAACGAAAATACCATTTTTGAAGTCGAACGGATTGTGTGTTACATATGTCTCTTTGACCTTTTGGCTGGTCCAATTGATAAGCATTTTATAGTACATGTTCGCTTGAATTGTCAAACCTACAAGAAAGGTACCTAAATCTTCAGTCCAGATTCAGAACACAACCAATCTTACAACTCCAGCATCAAGGAAGAAGATAGAGCATCACCACAAGGGAAGAAGACATCAGAACTTTTATCAAGCAATTTCATCAGGATTTACAAATATGCACGTAAGTCATGATTTTTTAAGAGCAATAATAACAGAAATATTATAGTTCAGAAGACGAGTAAGTTGACGTAAAAAATCTGAATGCACTTCGCAGAATAGGATAGTTAATATAGCAAAACATTCTGCTCAGGTATGCAGCATAAATATTAAACAGTTACTAATTCACTGAACACTATAATTGTCCACAATGTCCAATAGCAATGTAAAGATTGAAGCTAAGAATACAATATTCAGCTAATATGATCACAAC